CAGAGGCTTTATCCAGATTTGTAGTGGCGCTCTTGTTGCGTATTATATCCCTCTCTTTATATGTCTTCATATGCTGTTCCTTCTCCTCCATGTCAAAAATACTCCCTTGTTGTCATTGACATCAGCCTCCTATCAAATTACTTGTAGTAAGTCCAGTACAATCCACCAGGAATTTGTTTGTAGGTCCACATGTGTCAATTGCGCTACCTCGTACTGCGCTCTTCACATTTCAGCATATGGGGATGATATCTTGCTCAATCTGAGACTTACGACTGAGATTACTAGAACTCTCATCAAATTAGAGAACAGAAATCTCATTCTTGAGGTCACCAGTAATCTCAGCTCCACTGTCATGCCAGATGAGCGTCTTCCAGATAAGATCTTCACTCCTGGATATGACAGTTTTTAGCACATTACCTCCCATACCGAGACTAGTACAAGTCTCTGTTCTAACTATCCTATCTTCATCGAAAATGATATCAGAGGCTTGGATGACTTGTTTTGTTTCCCGATTCCATAAATGCCAAATGTTAGCCATTTCTTGTAGATAGCCTAACATAATACACTCATGTGTTCGGCTACCAAACCTCTTGTCTCCACATTGTTACTTTGGTATCAATTTGTATCCAAGTGAGCTAAAACGCCAAAGATGGAATAGAGTAGGCTGGGAGCCATCCAGTAGTTCTTACAGAGAGTTTTCCTTATTCGCTCGGGTTGTCGATCTCACTTGCAGGTATGTTACACTTAGTACTACCCCTGCCCAGAACTCAGGTGGCAAGCAAGAGTCAAGTATCATCAATTATACTTTTGTGGTAATTGTTCAAATCATGCACTTAGTGACACCATTCTTATGCTTCATATACAGAGGAGCTGACTCATATTGCTTTCCAGTTGCCTGTATAATCTGAATAAATAAGGAATTGCTATCTTTGCCCCTACTATTATCCCCTCTAAAGTGCCAGATTTTCAAGTTTCAATTGTTACACTGCATAGATATCCAAGCAATGAACTCTTAAAAACATGCAGTAACTGTATTCAAATACCGATTGTGGAGAAAATAGACATGCGTATAGCGACTACAGTCCTCTATATTTAAAATGAAAGATGGTGAACAACAGTGAGAGGGAGTGGATATCGGACCACACATGTCTGTATGTGCCGGTTCAAATGGTTGACTTTCTCGTTTAACAGCCTGGTACACAAATCGACCTTGTTTTATGAGTGAACACAGACTGGGCACCTGACACTAGATACATCATCTTTGCCTCGATCCTCTTGTGGTATCAATACCATCATGAAATCCATATTCAGATGGCCAAATTATTGATACCAGTGCTGGAGTGAAGGCAAGGTAGCCATCCTCACAGATATCAAGTTTACCTTCACTATGTGGTGACTATTGATGGGACATCCAATCGTCTTCCAGAGGGCACTAGATAAATCATGACATGCTAACCCAGCCACCGGACCATTATCATCTCTTCTAGATATTTCACAGACTCGATCCCGGAGGTTTATGTTCATCATAACACATAATCAACTAACTGGTAGTAGTGATAAACCTATTCCTAGTTTGTGGAGTACTTCAATTGTAATATAGCAGTCTTGTTTGATAAGATAGAGGTGCAAAGTTCCAATTCAGACAGCTCGCACTAAGCTATTATCACAGAGATTGATTCTTCGTACACAATTCAGAATTGTTTATGAGACACAGTCTGCACACCGGTTAGCAATATCGTAGGAAGCACGCAAGTCTACTAGCCATGCTGCTTCTAAACTATCAGATTGCATAGTCATCTGGTTTGTATCGAGAGCAAAACCAGCTGGAGTTGCCTTTGACATATAGCT